CTGGGCGTAGTGGTGCTGCTGGTCTCGGTCGTGATCGTCATACTCGTGGTTTTGCTCTCAGTCGTACTGCTCGCCGACGTGCTGGGCGTAGCGGTGCTGCTGGCGCCGCTCGCGCTCGTCACCCTCGTGGTGCTGCTCTCGGTCGTACTGCTGACCGACCCGCTGGACGTAGTGGCGCTGCTGGTATCGGTCGTGCTCGTCACCCTCGTGGTGCTGCTTTCGGTTGTACTGCTCGCCGACGTGCTGGGCGTAGTGGTGCTGCTGGTCTCGGTCGTGCTCGTCCCCCCCGTGGCGTTGCTCTCGGGCGTACCGCTCGCCGACGTGCTGGGCGTATTGGTGCTGGTACCAGACGTGCTCATCATCCTCGCGGTGCTGCTCTCGGTCGTACTGCTCGCAGACGTGCCAGGCGTCGTGGCGCTACTGGTAGCGGTCGTGCTCGTCACACTCGTGGTGCTGCTTTCGGTCGTACTGGCCGCCGACGCGCTTGGCGTGGTACCAGTTGTGCTCGTCCCGACCGTGATGCTGCTGGCGGTGGCTCTGCTCGCCGACGTGCTGGGCGTAGCGATGCTGCTGGTATCGGTCGTGCTCGCCACACTCGTGGAGATGCTCTCGGTCGTACTGCTCGCCGACGTGCTAGGCGTAATGTTCCTGCTGGTCTCGGTCGTGCTCGTCACCCTCGTGGCGCTGCTCTCGGTCGTACTGCTCGCCGACGTGCTAGGCGTAGTGGTGCTGCTGGTCTCGGTTGTGCTCGTCACCCCCGTGGTGCTGCTTTCGGTCGCACTGCTCGCCGACGTGCTGGGCGTAGAAGTGCTGCTACTCTCGGTCGTGCTCGTCACACTCGTGGTGCTGCTTTAGATCGTACTGCTCGCCGACGCGCTGGGCAGGGCGGTGCTGTTGGTATCGGTTGTGCTCGTCCCGAAAGTGATGCTGTTGTCAGTGGTTCTGCTCGCCGACAGGCTGGACGCAGTGATGCTGCTGGTCTCGGTTGTGCTCGTCACACTCGTGGAGATGCTCTCGGTCGTACTGCTCGCCGACGTGCTAGGCGTAGTGGCGCTGCTGGTCTCGGTCGCGCTCGACACACTCGCTTTGCTGCTCTCGGTCGTATTGCTCGCCGACGTGCTTTGCGTAGTGGTGCTGCTGGTAGGGGTCGTGCTTGTCACAGTCGTGGCGCTGCTCTCGGTCGTACTGCTCGCCGACGCGCTGGGCGTGGCGGTGCTGCTGGTATCGGACGTGCTCGTCCCGAACGTGATGCTGCTGTCGGTGGTTCTGCTCGCCGACGTACTGGGCGCAGTGATGCTGCTGGTCTCGGTCGTGCTTGTCACACTTGTGGTGCTACTCTCAGTCGTACTGCTTGCCGACGTGCTGGGCGTAGTGATGCTGCTGGTCTCGGTTGTGCTCGTCGCACTCGCTTTGCTGCTCTCGGTCGTACTGCTCGCCGACGTGCTGGGCGTACTGGTGCTGCTGGTAGGGGTCGTGCTCGTCACAGCCGTGGTGCTGCTCTCGGTCGTCCTGTTCGCCGTCGCGCTGGGCGTGGTGCTGCTGGTACCGGTCGTGCTCGTCACACTCGTGGTGCTGCACTCGGACGTACTGCTCGCCGACGTGCTGGGCGTAGTGGTATTGCTGGTGCCGGCTGTGCACGTCCCACTCGTGGTACCGCTTCCGGTCGCACTGGTCGCCGACGTGCTGGGCGTAGTGGTGCTGCTGGTACCGGTCGCGCTCGTCACACCCATGGTGCTGCTGTCGGTCGTACCGCTTGCCGACATGCTGGGCGTAGTTATGCTGCTGGTACCGGTCGTGCTCGTCACCCTCGGGGTGCGGCTCTCGGTCGTACTGCTCGCCGACGCGCTGGGCGTAGTGGTGCTGGCGGTCTCGGTCGTGCTCGTCACCCTCGTGGTGCTGCTCTCGGTCGTACTGCTCACCGACGCGCTGGGCGTAGTGGCGCTGCTGGTACGGGCCGTGCTCGTCACACTCGTGATGCTGCTTTCGGTCAGACTGTTCGCCGACGTGCTGTGCGTGGTGGTGCTGGTGGTACTGGTCGTGCTCATCACTCGTTCTGCTCTCGCTCATGCTCCTCGCCAACGCGCTAGGCGTAGCGTTGCTACTGGTACCTATCGTGTTGATCATACTCGCGACGCTGCTTTCGGTCGTACTGCTCGCCGACGTGCTGGGCGTAGTGGTGCTGCTGGTCTCGGTCTCGGTCGTGGTCGTCACCCTCGTGGCGCTGCTCTCGGTCATACTGCTTGCCGACGTGCTGGGCGGAGTGGTGCTGCTGGTAGCGATCACACTCGTCATGCTCGCGGTGCTGCTTTCAGTCGTAGTACTCACCGACGTGCTGGTCGTAGTGTTGCCGCTGGTACCGGTCGTACTCGTCATACTCGTGGTGGTGCTCTCGGTCGAACTGTTATCCGTCGTGCTGGGCGTATTAGTGCTGCTGGTATCCGTCGTACTCGTCAGACTCGTGGTGCTGCTCTCGCTTGTATTACTCTCCGATGTGCTGGGCGCAGGGTTGCTGCTGGTGGCGTTCGTGCTCGTGATTCTCGTGGTCCTGCTCTCGATCATACTGTCCGCCGACGTGATGGGCGTAAGAGTGCCGCTGGTACTGATCGTACCCGTCTTACTCGTGGTGCTGCTTTCAGTCGTAGTACTGTCCAACGTGCTTGGCGTAATGATGCTGCTGGTGCCTGTCGCACTAGCCATACTCGTGGTGCTGCTATCGGTCGTACTGCTTGCCGACGTGCTTGGCGTAGTGGTGCCGCTGGTGCAGGTCTTACTCGTCACACTTGTGGTGCTGCTCTCGGTCGTACTGCTCGCCAAAGCGCTGGGCGTAGTGGTGCCGCTGGTACTGGCCTTACTCGTCATACCCGTGGTGCTGCTCTCAGTCGTACTGCTCGCCGACGTACTGGGCGTAGTGGTGACGCTGGTACTGGTCGTACTCGTCATACTCGTGGTGCTGCTCTCGGTTGTACTGCTCGCCGCCGTGCTGGGCGTAGTGGGGCCACTGGTACTGGTCGCACTCGTCATCCTCGCGTTGCTGCTCTCGCTCGTACTGCTCGCCGACGTGCTGGGCGTAGTGGTGCCGCTGGTACTGGTCTTACTCGTCATACACGCGGTGCTGCTCTCAGTCGTACTGCTCGCCGACGTGCTGGGCGTAGTGGTGACGCAGGTACTGGTCGTACTCGTCATGCTCGTGGTGCTGCTCTCGGTTGTACTGCTCGCCGCCGTGCTGGGCGTAGTGGTGCCACTGGTACAGGTCGCACTCGTCATACTCGCGTTGCTGCACTCGCTCGTACTGCTCACCGACGCGCTGGGCGTAGTGGTGCCGCTGGTACCGGTCGCACCTGTCATACTCGTGGTGCTGCTCTCGGCCGGACTGCTCGCCGACGTGGTGTGCGTGGTGGTGCCGCTGGTACCGGACGTACTCGTCATACTCGTGGTGCTTCTCTCAATGGTACTGCGCGCCGACGTGCTGGGCATAGTGGTGCCGCTGGTACATCATCATCATCATCATCATCATCATCATCATCATCATCATCATCATCATCATCATCATCATCATCATCATCATCATCATCATCATCATCATCATCATCATCATCATCATCATCATCATCATCATCCTCATCATCTTCCTCCTCCTCCGCCTCCTCCTCCTCCTCGTCCTCCTCCTCCTCCTCCTCCTCCTCCTCCTCCTCCTCCTCCGCCTTCCTCCTCCTCCTCCTCACCTCCTCCTCCTCCTCCTCCTCCTCCTCCTCCTCCTCCCCGTCCCCCTCCCCCTCCCCTTCCTCCTCCCCCTCCTCCTCCTCATCTCTTCCTCCTCCTCATCATCCTCCTCCTTGTCCTCCTCATTGTCCTCCTCCTTGTCCTCCTCATTGTCCTCCTCCTTGTCCTCCTCATTGTCCTCCTCATTGTCCTCCTCATTGTCATCCTCGTTGTCCTCCTCATTGTCCTCCTCATTGTCCTCCTCATTTTCGTCCTTCTCCTCCTCCTCCTCCTTCCTCCTTCCCCCTCTCCTCCCCCTCCCCCTCCCTCTCCTCCTCCCCTCCCTCCTCCCTCCTCCTCCTCCTCCTCCTCCTCCTCCTCCTCTCCTCCTCCTCCTCCTCCTCCTCAGCAGCAAGCAGCATCAGCATCAGCATCAGCATCACATCATCATCATCATCATCATCATCATCATCATCATCATCATCATCATCATCATCATCATCATCATCATCATCATCAGCATCATCATCATCATCAGCATCATCATCATCATCATCATCATCATCATCATCATCATCATCATCATCATCATCATCATCATCATCATCATCACATCATCATCATCAGCATCATCATCATCATCATCATCATCATCATCAGCTCATCATCATCATCATCATCATCATCATCATCATCATTCATCAGCATCAGCATTGTCATCATCATCATCATCATCATCAGCATCATCATCATTATCATCAGCATCATCATCATCATCATCATCATCATCATCATCATCATCATCATCATCATCATCATCATCATCATCATCATCATCATCATCATCATCATCATCATCCGTCTTCTCCCCCTCCTGGGGCTCCTCGCCCAGCAGAACGTACCATTAGAAAGCTCACCCCATCTGCACAGAAATGCAACCGACAACCGATGCAGAAGCAACGCTATGCTTGTATGTGAGATCGCCGCATTGCAAGCGATGTCTCCGAGGCCCACTTGTGAGCCTGCCATGGAAGAGACCTCTCCTGGCAACAGTTGGCCCTACTACAAGAGAATACTGCACGGAGCGTTGTAGACGAGGGCCCGTCCATTTGTATGCGCGCTAGCCCGCACTCCTCACCATCTTCATCCTCCTCTTGCTGATCCTCCTCCGCCTCGCACCCATCTCTCGATTCTGATCCCCCCTCCCGCTCAAATGCCAGTAATATGGATGTTGCTCCTGCTACCCACGACAACTAAAGGGGACCCTTCGATTGCCGGAGATAGCATACAAATCATACTGCTCACCTGCCGACGAAGACTACGCGGACCTCCAGGAGCGGCTTGCCCCACAGGTCCCTGCTGCTCTCCACGTCGCATAACCGGTTGAACTCGGGAAGGACCGCGGCCGTGTAAGCGAGTCGTTCACCGCCCACCGTCTCAAACCGAAGATCGGCTGGTATCAAGTCCACGGCCGCGGCGATGCATTTTTTGATGGACTCGAACGACGGCGGCACCCGGACGTCCGACCACAAGAAATACTCGAACGGCTGAATCCGTCTAAAATTGCTGAGCTTCTGGTCCTGGATTCTCCTCGGAATGCGACTGCGTGATCTCATGATTCCAAGCGGAGTGGATGGCGTAATTGCCAGCGTGCCGCAAAAAGTAGAAGCCCAAGAATGCAAATCCCACGAGCCCTCTAGGCTTGGGTGGCTCAGACCGGTTCCTCTTCCGACACCCTTCTTCTCTTTTGAAAAGGAATTTCCTCTTACAGAACCCCACGCCAGAAGACCTCCCACCCCGCCTAGCGATACGTCTTGAGGGCCGCCTGGAGGCCTCCTGGGTTCTCTTCGGAGCCTACGAAGGGCTTCTTAGGAGCCAATCAAAGGCCTCTGGGAGGGCTCTCGGGGGCCTATTGAAAGCATCTATCTTCAAGACCCCTGGGGGCCTCTTGGGGCTGTTTTGGCGCCGCCGACGCTTGACATTATCGTGAGGCCCCATGGGGGCCTCTGGAGCCTGGGGCCGTCCTGGATCCCTTCTGGGCCCGTCTTGGAGCTCTCTTGGGGCACTCTTGAGGCCGTCTAACGCCTCAAGGCCCTTCGTGAGCGAAAAAGCGAGAAGGCGACCATCATGGGTTGTCTTATGGTATTTGAAAGACTTTGGCCTCTCAGGGGCCCTCTTAGGGCCTCCTTGAGCCGACCTGGAGGCTGCTTTGGCGTGCCGTTTACGGTCTTGCCTCCGCTTGTCGTTTCTTGTCCTATCTTCTCTGGTCTTGTGGTGTCTGGCCGTCTGGGGCCGTCTTGGAGTCCACCGCAGGCCAGCTTTATGGCCGCCCGTCGAATCGATGGGCCCGCTAGCCTTGTAAGTGGAAGCCCGCGCCGCGACATCTCCCACCCCGCCTGTGGACTGGATGTGGCTGGCAATCCGGCACGGTGGCCGCCACTGGCCTCCCGCGGAAATTAGCCTGGCGAAGGACCCAACCATATGCAGCTGTGAGTACCGCAATAGTGAACATCTCTTCTTCGGCGCGGCGCCGCCATGCCAACGCAGCCACTGGGAGCTTCGGTGGAGCTCCCTATGGGGCCACGAAGCGTGTAAGGGGTGTGCCGAAATGGGCGCGGCGCCGCCATGCCAACGCAGCCACTGGGGCCTTCGGTGGAGCTCCCTATGGGGCCACGAAGCGTGTAAGGGGTGTGCCGAAATGGGTGCGGCGCCGCCATGCCAACGCAGCCACTGGGGCCTTCGGTGGAGCTCCCTATGGGGCCACGCAGCGTGTAAGGGGTGTGCCGAAATGGGTGCGGCGCCGCCATGCCAACGCAGCCACTGGGGCCTTCGGTGGAGCTCCCTATGGGGCCACGAACCGTGTGAGGGGTGTGCCAAATTGGGCGCGGCGCCGCCATGCGAACGCAGCCACTGGGGCCTTCGGTGGAGCTCCCTATGGGGCCACGAAACGTGTGAGGGGTGTGCCAATTCGGTGCGGCGCCACCATGCGAAGGCAGCCACTGGGGCCTTCGGTGGAGCTCCCTATGGGGCCACGAAACGTGTGAGGGGTGTGCCAATTGGGTCGGCGCCGCCATGCGAACGCAGCCACTGGGGCCTTCGGTGGAGCTCCCTATGGGGCCACGAAACGTGCGAGGGGTGTGTGGGGCGCGGCGCCGCCATGCGAACGCAGCACTGGGCCTTCGGTGGAGCTCCTATGGGGTGTGAGGGGTGTGCCAGGGTGTGAACCGCATGCGGCGCAGCCACTGGGGCCTTCGGTGGAGCTCCCTATGGGGCCACGAAACGTGTGAGGGGTGTGCCAGAATGGGGGGTGGAACCGCATGCGAGCGCAGCCACTGGGGCCTTCGGTGGAGCTCCCTATGGGGCCACGAAACGTGTGAGGGGTATGCCAAAATTGGGGGTGGAACCGCATGCGAACGCAGCCACTGGGGCCTTCGGTGGAGCTCCCTGTGGAGCCACGAAACGTCTGAGGGGTGTGCCGAAATGACAGGTGGAACCGCATGCGAGCGCAGCCACTGGGGCCTTCGGTGGAGCTCCCTATGGGGCCACGAAACGTGTGAGGGGTGTGCCAGAATGGAGGGTGGAACCGCATGCGGGCGCAGCCACTGGGGCCTTCGGTGGAGCTCCCTATGGGGCCACGAAACGTGTGAGGGGTGTGCCAGAATGGGGGGTGGAACCGCATGCGGGCGCAGCCACTGGGGCCTTCGGTGGAGCTCCCTATGGGGCCACGAAACGTGTGAGGGGTGTGCCAGAATGGGGGGTGGAACCGCATGCGGGCGCAGCCACTGGGGCCTTCGGTGGAGCTCCCTATGGGGCCACGAAACGTGTGAGGGGTGTGCCAGAATGGGGGGTGGAACCGCATGCGGGCGCAGCCACTGGGGCCTTCGGTGGAGCTCCCTATGGGGCCACGAAACGTGTGAGGGGTGTGCCAGAATGGGGGGTGGAACCGCATGCGGGCGCAGCCACTGGGGCCTTCGGTGGAGCTCCCTATGGGGCCACGAAACGTGTGAGGGGTGTGCAGAATGGGGGGTGGAACCGCATGCGGACGCAGCCACTGGGGCCTTCGGTGGAGCTCCCTATGGGGCCACGAACGTGTGAGGGGTGTGCCAGAATGGGGGGTGGAACCGCATGCGGGCGCAGCCACTGGGGCCTTCGGTGGAGCTCCCTATGGGGCCACGAAACGTGTGAGGGGTGTGCCAGAATGGGGGGTGGAACCGCATGCGGGCGCAGCCACTGGGGCCTTCGGTGGAGCTCCCTATGGGGCCACGAAACGTGTGAGGGGTGTGCCAGAATGGGGGTGGAACCGCATGCGGGCGCAGCCACTGGGGCCTTCGGTGGAGCTCCCTATGGGGCCACGAAACGTGTGAGGGGTGTGCCAGAACGGGGGGTGGAACCGCATGCGGGCGCAGCCACTGGGGCCTTCGGTGGAGCTCCCTATGGGGCCACGAAACGTGTGAGGGGTGTGCCAGAATGGGGGGTGGAACCGCATGCGGGCGCAGCCACTGGGGCCTTCGGTGGAGCTCCCTATGGGGCCACGAAACGTGTGAGGGGTGTGCCAGAATGGGGGGTGGAACCGCATGCGGGCGCAGCCACTGGGGCCTTCGGTGGAGCTCCCTATGGGGCCACGAAACGTGTGAGGGGTGTGCCAGAATGGGGGGTGGAACCGCATGCGGGCGCAGCCACTGGGGCCTTCGGTGGAGCTCCCTATGGGGCCACGAAACGTGTGAGGGGTGTGCCAGAATGGGGGGTGGAACCGCATGCGGGCGCAGCCACTGGGGCCTTCGGTGGAGCTCCCTATGGGGCCACGAAACGTGTGAGGGGTGTGCCAGAATGGGTGTGGGAGGGGGAGGAGGGGGGAGGAGGGAGGGAGGAAGGAGGCGGGAACGCGGGGCACCGTCTCTTCAAAACGAGGACCCAACACCACACGATGGTTGGGAAAAAACAGACAGGTATGGGATGAGCTGGGCCGAGGCCTGAGGAACAGTGATGGGGGCGCTTCATTTTGAGGATTCGGGTGACCTCTTGCGACTCCTTTGAATGAGATGGGGCACTTTGGGAGCTCTGTTGGGGCCTCTTGGAGCCTTTGAAGACATCCTATGGCCGTCTGGGGGGCCTGTTTAGCGCCAGCGACGTCTGTCTTCGGACAAGTTTGGGGCCCTCTTGGGGCTCACACGGGCCTCTCCTGGGGTCCTCTTGGGAGCGCCTGAGGCCATCCTGGGCCCCTCCTGGTCCCGTCTTGATTCGGCGATCTCGGGCCCATCTGCAGGTCTCGAGAGCCCAGTGGAAGAGAAAAAGCGTGAATGGCAAGATCACTGAAAAAGATTCGTACAGTGTTTGACGGATTTGGGTTCTCGGGGACATCCTTGGGAGGCTCCATGGCCACCTCGGGCAGCCTTGTAGCTATCCAGAGGCCTCCTGGATGCAGGGTGGAGGCAATGTTGGACCATCTGAGTCCAGCGTGGAGACCATCGTGGAGGACATCTCGCGTATCTCGCCTTGTCTTGCCTCGCCGAGGCCAAGATGGGGGCGTGACGCGCCAGTTCCGTAGCCGCGGGCCGTACGTGGTAGCCCGCTTAGAGCGTCGAAGATGCCCAGACGGGAAGAGGGGCTCAAAGGTAGCCTCCGAGATGGTACAGTATAGAACAAGATGGTTCAAGGAGGCCTGCAGCGTCCCTCCAAGAGGCCTCAGGACGGCTCCAAGTAGCCACGGAGCCTTCCAGGGAGTCCCCCGATTTGCCAACATCCTGAAAAAAGATTGCCTGTTCTTTTCCAACTTGGGTCCTCATTTTGAGTAAAGCCCTGCTGCGCCTCCCATCCCAACTCTCCCGTTTCCTCCCCTCCTCCTCCTCGCTGCCTCGTCGCTGCCGCCTCCCGCCTCCCTTCTCGCTTTCTCTCCTCTCTCTCTCTCTCTCGCTCTCCATCTTGTTTTTTCTCTCTCTCTCTCTCTCTCTTTCTTTCTGTCGCTCTCTCTCTCTCTCTCTCTCTCTCTCTTATCGCTTCATTTCTCTGTCTCTGTCTTTCTCTCTCTCTCTCTCTTTCTCTCTCTCTCTCTCTCTCTCTCTCTCTCTCTCTCTATATATATATATATATATATATATATCCCTATGCACATACATATATGTGAATATATATATATATATATATATATATATGTATATATATTAATGTATGTATCCGTTTCATCGCTTCCTCTTCGCTTCTTCCTCGTGTCACCTCCCTGGGCGCTGCCAACTGTTACCACTTTCGTGGTCTCTTGGGAGCTCTTGGGAGGTCCAGCGGAGTGAGGCCATACGCGGACCCAAGAATTCATTCCACCTCTGGGTGGTGCCAGCTGCGCAACTGTCACCACTTTCGTGAACATCCATGAATTCCAGCGGCATGACGCCCCACGCAGCTCCGAATAAGACCTCCCCTCCCTGGGCGCCGGCAACCGTGCAACTGTCACCACTTCCGTGGGCTCCTGGGAGATCCAGCGGAGTGACGCCCTGAGCAGGGCAAAAAACAAACCTCGTCTCCTGTGCACTGCCATGTGCGAAACTGTCCCCATGTTCGTAAGCTCCTGGGAGGTCCAGCGGAGCGGTGTCACACGCAGATGCAAATGAGACATCCACTCCCGGGCTGCTGCCACGTGCGCAACTGTCGCCACCTTCGTGCGCTCCTGGAAGTCCGGCCGGGTCGTGTCCTGCGCAAGTCCGAATCGGACCTCGCTTCCCTGGCTGGGCGATGCCAACTGCGTAACTGCCGCCGCATTCGTGAGCTCCTGGGAGATCCACTGGGATGGTGTCATACGCAGATCATTGCAGCATCGCCTCTCTGCGACTGCGACTGCGACTCCGACTGCGACCCGCATTGCGCACCCTGTATGTGCCGCGGTCTGGGGCCGAAGCTCTGAGGGCGCCGCCAACTGCGCGGCCGGCGCCCCCGGAGTGTCCACCCAAGCTGTGCCCTACGCAGAGTCGAAGGAGACCTCCCCTCCGTCGCTACCTTCGTGGGCTCCTGGAAGGTCCGGCGGGCTGACACCCCGCGCAGATACGAGTCGAAGAAGACTTTCCTCCCTGGGCGCTGACATCTGCGCAATCGTCGCCGCCTTCGTGAGGTCCTGGCCTTGGAATCTCGTTCCCGTGCAGGCCCGAACGATTGCGGTGAGGGCATTGGACAAGCAACCACTGGAGAAGGAACCCAGGATCTGGAAGCCCGCAGCACATCAACTGGGGCATGGCCATGGAAATCGCTGCCGCCCTCATCAGACAAGGAATCCTCCAGGGTCTGAAGCCCCTTGGGCAAACTCCTACACGAACGCCCCAACGATGACTCCCCTGACTATGCGCTGCCAGCTGCGCAGCTGTCGCCACTTTCGCGAGCTCCTGGGAGGTTCAACGGAGTGACACCTCACGCGCGAAACTGCCTTTCGTTCGGTTACGATTCACATAGCTTCCCTGGGGAGCCTGGAGCACAGGGCGCCCCAGGAAGCTCGCAGGAGGAGTATAACAGCGCACCGCTTCAAGCTTCCATCCGTCTTGGATGGCTGAGCCCATCGGTGTTGCCACTTGGTTCATGTGGACAGGGTACGTCCCTGGATAATTGCCTTCCCCCCCGCTCGCGCCTCATAGGCCCCTGGGCGTCAAGATGGCCCCAGGATCGCCGCAGAGAGCCCAAAAGGGACCGTCAAGGCCCCAAGACGGCCCGCAGAGCGTCTCATCAAAAGGCAGCAAGAGGCGATTCGTCGGGCTCCAGAGCAGTGCTAATCCGCGACGCCTTTGTCATGAAAGGGACTGCCAAGCTAAGATATTTGAATGATGACTTGAATTTTGGTAGCATCCTGAGGAGGCTGTTGGGCCAAGATGTCCACCGTTCTCAAGATAGCATGCTAGATGGCGCAGAATGTTCCAGGTTGACTCGAGCTCAAGCGTGCATCCAAGTCCCCGAGACAACCCAGGCTCCAATTGGTCACGGAGCTTCCCAAGGACACCCCCCAAGATGCCCAAATCCTTCAAATGATCCAAAAGTGCTTCAACGCTTGATCGCCTCATCGCCTGTTTGGTTATGGTGGGCTTCTGCAGCAGCAAGATGGCTCCAAAACCACCCAGGAGAGCCCCAGCAGAGACAGGCAAGAAAGGCTCCAACACGACCCCCAGAGCGCCTCAGAGCGCCCCAAGAGTGTCCCAAGAGCCCCAGGAGGCGATGTTCGGTACTCCAAAGGGTCAGTGCTCGCTTGATCCGCACCTAGTGATCGATGTCCTCCAAGACAGCACCAAGAAGACCCCCAAGGCCTGTGAGAGGGGTCCGAGAGGGCCCAAAGGCCTCCGAAACGACCTCAAGAACGTCCAAGGAGGGCCCCAAGAAGGCTGCACGAGGCCTACAGATCGAAATATCCGCGACCACCGTTGTGGTTAACTCCTGGCTCTGCCTGGGCTGATCCCGAGCTTTAGTTGTTTTGTGTGGGGGGAGAGGGGAAGGATGAGGCGAACAGGGAAAGGCGCAACAAACAGACCGTCGACCCCATCGTCACTCTGCGCGGGAGTCTGGCGCGGAACAGCTAGAGAGAAGAATGGAATAATCCGTAAAACGTATCAGCGCCAGGAGGAAGACGGAGAAGAATGACGACGACGAAGATGACGACTGCGACGAGAGAGGGAGGGAAAGACAGAAAACCAGCGCGCAACCACTGGACAAACTACCCTCACGTGCAACGCAGGCACCGCAGGAAATGGTTGAACCCGAGCTTGGGTTTGAGGCTCCCCCCCTATGTCCACTGCATGCTCCTACGCTTCCCTGATCAGGGAGAACTCCCCCAGGCATCGTTTCTGGATGGGCTGGTTGCGATACGCGAAGCGTCAACGATATTTCTCCCTGCGAGATTGAATGCATCCGCGCAACACGGCATCTTCCAAACGGACAGGCACCAAGTCGCTGCCCTGAGTCAATCTACTGCTCTGGTACGCTCGCACTGGCGATCTCCCGCGGCGCGACGGTGCCCTCGGTGCGGCGGACCCCGCGGCGGGATCCAGCGGGGCAGGCGTCAGAACCACCCCCGGGGACCTGCCCCGACGGCGCCTCTTGGGACTATAGCTGCTCTGAGGTCGGGGGCTCAAGGACACAGAGCGCAACGTGCTTCTCCAAGCATTGCGCAGCCCTGCTGATAGTGACCTGCGCGGCTCTCCTGGATCTTCTGAGCTGCCTGCCAGAACAGCTACCAATTGGTGAGCCATGTGCTGCAGTGCTCGTGTTTCACTCCTGTACGGTGCAAGAAGAGATGTGCCCGAAGAGAAATTCTTTATTCTCTTGCACAGGGTGTCTAGAGCTCCGACCACTTTATTTCGGCACCGCACCCCCCCCCCCATCATAATCACCATCATCATCATCATCATCATCCACATCATCATCATCATGCGCCCCTCCGTCTCAGCGCCCTCCCGCGGCTCCAGCGCCCGCCCAGTGCCCCCTCCGCCCCGACCACTTTATTTCGGCACCGCGCCCCCCCCCCGCTCCGCCCCCTCCCCCGCGCCGTCTCAGCGCCCCCCCGCGGCTCCAGCGCCCGCCCAGTGCCCCCTCCGCCTCGACCACTTTATTTCGGCACCGCACCCCCTCCCCGCTCCGCCCCCTCCCCCGCGCCGTCTCAGCGCCCCCGCGCGGCTCCAGCGCCCGCCCAGTGCCCCCTCCGCCCCGACCACTTTATTTCGGCACCGCACCCTCCCACCGCTCCGCCCCCTCCCCCGCGCCGTCTCAGCGCCCCTGCGCGGCTCCAGCGCCCGTCTCAGCGCCCCCGCGCGGCTCCAGCGCCCGCCCAGTGCCCCCTCCGCCACGACCACTTTATTTCGGCACCGCACCCCCCCCCCGCTCCGCCCCCTCCCCCGCGCCGTCTCATCGCCCCTGCGCGGCCCCATCGGCCCGCCCAGTGCCCCTCAGCCCCGACCTCTTTATTTTCGGCACCGCCCCCCCCTCCGCCCCCTCCCCCGCGCCAGTTCCCTTTCAGCGCCCCCCCCGCAGGCTCCAGCGCCGCCCAGCGCCCCCTCCGCCCCGACCACTTTATTTCGGCACCGCACCCCCCCCCCCGCTTCCGCCCTCCCCCGCGGCCGTTCTCAGGCCCCCCCCCGCGGCTCCAGCGCCCGCCCAGACGGCCCCCTCCGCCCGTTCCACTTTAATTTCGGCCCACCCATCCCCCCCCACTGACGCTCCCCTCCCGCGCCGTCTCAGCGCCCCCCGCGGCTCAGCGCCCCGCCCAGGTTGCCCCCTCCGCCCCGACCACGTTAATTTCGGCACCGCACCCCCCCCCGCCATCCCCCCCCCCCCCCCCCCCCCCCCCCCCCCACCCCCCCCCCCCCACCCCCCCCCCCCCCATATCCCCGTGCTCGTGTCAGCGGCCCCGCCCCCGCGGCTCGCAGCGACCCCGCCAGTGACCCCGCACGCCCTCCGACGTGTCCACTCTATTTCGCGCACCGCACCCCTCCCGCCTCCAATCGAGAAGCATGTCGGCTCCGCCATCCCCCCCCCCCGCCTACCGCCCCTCCCACAGCTCCCAGCCGTTCTCAGCGCTTCCCCCCCGCGGCTCCTCCAGCGCCACGTCCTCGCTGCCCCCCTCAGCACCGACCATTGTATTTCGGACAGCACCGCACCCCCTCCCCCGCTCCGCCCCCTCCCCCGCGCCGTCTCAGCGCCCCCCCCGCGGCTCCAGCGCCCGCCCAGCGCCCCCTCCGCCCCGACCATTTTATTTCGGCACCGCACCCCCCCCCTCCGCCTCCTCCCCCGCGCCGTCTCAGCGCCCCCCCGCGGCTCTAGCGCCCGCCCAGTGCCCCCTCCGCCCCAACTTTCTTTTCGGCACGGTACACCCTCCCCCTTCCCCCGCTTCCTCACCCCCCCCGCGCCGTCTCTGCGCCCCCACCCGCGGCTCCAACGCCCGGCAGTGCCCCTCCGCCCCGACACTTTATTTCGGCATCTCGCACCCCCCCTCCCCGCTCGCACCCCTAACCCGCGCCGTCCTCAGCGCCCCACCGCGTCACTGCAGCGCCCGCCAGTCCCTCCGCCCCGACCACTTTATTTCGGCACCGCACCCCCCCCCGCTCCGCCCCCTCCCCCGCGCCGTCTCAGCGCCCCCCCACGGCTCCAGTGCCCGCCCAGTGCCCCCTCCGCTTCGACCACTTTATTTCGGCACCGCACCCCCCCCCGCTCCGCCCCCTCCCCCGCGCCGTCTCAGCGCCCCCCGCGGCTCCAGCGCCCGCCCAGTGCCCCTCCGCCCCGGACCATTTTATTTCGGCACCGCACCCCCCCTTCCCCAGCTACGCTCCTCCCCCGCGCCGTCTCAGCGCCCCCCCGCGTTTCCAGCGCCCGCCCAGTGCCCCCTCCGCCCCGACCGTCCTCTCCCCCCCCCCCCCATCCTCCTCCACATCCTCCTCCTCCCCCTTCCTTTTTGTGCAAGAGCCATGGCACACGTGCCACTTGTTTCGTGCATGACACACTTGAACAGCGCTAGCCCCGATTCATCGATGTACAGGCGGCTGTCCCTGGAGCACGCAGCTTTCACAATGTTCTCGATCTGGTAATTCTTCAATCTCGGTTTCCGCATACAGAACAGGAACTTGAGCACCCTGGCTGCGTTCTGGGCAGGTGCGCTCTCAATGAAAAATACATCATGTGGGGTAATCTCCACGTCATCGGGGAAATACTTGCCCCTAGTGGGGACCAATTCCACCGTCCCGAATTCACTGCTGTATGGATCGAGCCACTCGAATTTCAACGCCACGACTATTTCCGTGTGCACATGCACGTAAAATTCAGCTGCCTCGGACAGATCTCCGACAAGAGCAGCAAATCGCTCCATGTCCTGCCTCGAGACATGTTCCACGTGTGAAGTTTCAATGTGGTAATCAACATCAGACGCTCGGTTGCTGGTGCCTTTTGCCATCGAACCCTGCATGATCAAGCTTGTGCTTGGACCCCACACGCGAGTTGCTGTCAACTGAATGGCGTCGATCAGCTTCTGGGGTGGTTTTTGAAAGTCACAAAGGGTTTGGGCGAGCCCATTGAATTCGTCGGTTGACTCGATCGCGATCCTCACAAGCTCGACTTCCTGCTGCTTATGAAAATCTGCCATCGCCGGGCGCGGAGGCGATTGGTCGGAACGCGGCGCCTATCTGCTACACCTCTCGCCTGGCGCACCGCTGAGCAAGCCCGAAGTTGAACTTGAACCAAAACCTTTACAAATGCAGATGGCACTGCAGGTACAAACATGCTCATGGCATTGGACCGTCAAATCTAGGCTTCCACTCCAGCATCGTGACTGCGGGCCCGAAGTGTGCGCTGGAAACCTCACCTCAAGCTGGTCCACCACAAAACCTTCGTTGAACTTTCAACTTTCCCATTGACCGAATGCTGTAATGATGAAAATCGCAAGCTTCCCAACTGAGGGAAAGGGGACTCCACCACAGGAAGCACCAACCATGGGAAAGAAGGAAGAGGAGCGGGAGGGGAAGGGAGAAAGGACAAACGCTCTGTGTGGGCATCCCCGATGGCTCTGCCGGTCATTAATATTAAGCAAAACAGAAGCAACGGAGGAGGAGAAGAAGGAGAAGGAGGAGATGGAGATGGAGGAAGGACTGCAGAGAGAGAACAGGTTGGCGAGCTAAACGGCCGCAACCCCGGTAGATACAGATTCCCGATGCTCTGGAATCTTTCGTTGAATCGCGTGCAGTTGCACCGCATCCGACAAGTTAGCGTTGCGACTTCAGCTTCTAGAGTAGTAGCGTGGAACGAAAGCCATTTCAGGTGGAGCAGTGAGGCACGAATCCACTTCACCCCGTCAAACCGCAACCTCAAGCACCAACCGCACCGCGCCAAAGCAGCAAGCAAGGTCACCAGGAGTAGACTGGACCGCCCAGCCGCACTGGACATTCGGACTTGGAGCGATGACAGAGAATGACGGAAGCAGAAGGCAGGAAAGGAAGCCAAAAGTATACGTAAAGACCTACACACTATCATGTGGAACACGCGGAGGCCACGCGCTGGATACACATGCGAGGGACTGGTGTAGTCGGGCCATACGAGGGCCGAACGTTGTAAAGACGCGCGGCCACAAATGCATCCAGCTCTCGCCCAGACCTGCCGTGTCATGCGCCCGCTCAATTGAAGAAGAGGAATGAGAGGATGAGAATTGACTCCATGGAATATGCCCAGGCGCTCGTCTGTCGGCAATGCCGCCCGGATAGTATCCCCAGACCCAGCGACGCGAGATCGAAAAGTCGAAGCCCCTGTCTCTACAGCCTGTTACGTCAACCCCTCCTCCCTCCTCATCTCGGCGGCGAGCCTGGTGAGCAAGTGAGAAGGGGGGGCCTTCTCAGAAGGCTCGAAAGCCCCCCAGCATTCTGAGAAGTTTTCGAAGCCTTCCCCGAAGATACCAAAAACCTCTCAAAGGCGCGAGGGCTTCTGAGAAGTCCCGCCGCCATATGAGAAGGCCTTTTCCTTCTCACTTCCACCCCTCGCTCGCCGCCGAGTTACGTCAACCCCTCCTTCCTCCTCATCAATCTCCTCGCTACTCCTGATCCCCCATCAAGCTCCTCCTGCTCCTCCCTGCTCCTCATCGTCCCTCCAACCGACGCGCATGCTGCGGGCAGGTTAGGGTCGAAGCCGCAGCGCCCTTTGACCACCCCTCTTACCCCGAGCGACTCGGGGGGAACAGGTCGGAAAGAGCTCGTAGGTTGGGAGAAGAAGAGAAATACTGAACTTGACGTGTTCCGCCACGAAATCGTATGAAGGCTCGCTCGCTTCGTCAGCATCGGCCCAAACGCAAATGGAGCGGTGCACAGGAACTCTCCCTGTAAGAAGGGAAAAGACCAGACGGCGGGGATCACGGGAGGCACTGCCACTAAACCAGAGGGAGAGAAGGGGGGGGAA